AATCTTTGCTTTCGTGAGGATCATTATTTGCTGGGAAAAACAGGGCCAAGTGGGTTGACCTGTTCAACAAGACTGGGACATCCAAACGGAAGAACTTGATTCCTTGTAGACCCCAGTGCAGTCGACAGATGTCACAGCCAGCTTGCTTTCAACTTACTTGGACAATTAAAATTTGTGGCAGACTAAAACACATTAGTAGTATAAAAGAAATGGCAGAAAATCCCTAAAAGAAAATTAACCTCATTTTCCAAAAAGTGCATACTTTATATAATATGTAGCTGAGACAGGAAAGTAACTGTTACATTCTGAAAGCACCTGTGCATTTGGAACTTCACCCTGCTTTCTTGGGAAGGAAATTCATACAAAGCTGTTTGGTTTTTCTAATTTGAGGAAGGCCTGGAGCATAGGGCAAAGCACTCATGATCACTTCTTTTCCTAAGTAGTTCTCTTTGTCCACATTATGCAGAATGATGTGAAACCATCGGTCATTTCTTTTTTAAACCTAGGACTCTGATGATGATATTGGGTCTACCAATAGACCTATGCCTGACTGTATAATATTTATCATGAATACGGAGTGTGCAACTACTTGTTGTGTACTGTTGGGTAGATTATTTGACTTCTCTTCAGTTTTCCTCCTTTGGAAAAGGGTACAGCCTACCTCATTGTAACGATCAGAAATAAGGCACATAACAGGGTGTTCATCAAAATTTCTGGAACACAATTAGCTGCTTAGTATAGCATAGTAAGTACTTCAAAATGATAGATATACGTATAAGTTTGGATTCTGGAACCAGCCTGGCTGGGCTGGAATCTCTGCTCTACCCTTTATCAGCTGTGTGACGTTGGGCAAGTAGCTTTACCTCTCTTGGTCTCAGTTTCCTCACTGAGTTTGGGATGTTATTAGCCACTGCATCATAGGGTTTTTTTAGGTGGCTAAAATGAGTTAATATATGTAAAGTACCTTTAAAAGCATAATTATATTATAGGGCTTAATAATGGTTAATTATTTTTATTGCTATTCCTTTCAACTGGCAGAGATTCCCACAGCTTTTTGAAGTTCTATATTAAAACCTGGGAGAAACACCTTGTCATATGTATAAAACACATTCCGTTGCACACCATCGTACTAGTTGATTTCAGTTTTCCATTGTATGGCCCTGTAACCAACTCTCCTTTGATAAGTCCTTCGAGTCCTCAGTGGGAATTGCTTTTAAGTTTGACTGCTTTGCTGTAAGACAGTAATTCTTAGGTCTTGAGTTTATTCCTTTACTGTTTCTGGATTCCATAAAGAACATGGGAATAATAATTACTTGGAGGCAAAATAGGAAAGCATTGTGAAAACTGGTCTCAACTCCACTGTTACTCTCCAAAATAATTATATAATTTAGTAGTTTCTTTTTCCTTTCTTTTTCTTTTTGGTGGTGCTGGGGATTGAACCCAGGGCCTATGTACATGTGACACAGGCACTCTACCAACTAAGCTATATCCCAAGCTCCAATGTAGTTTTGTGCAGATGAATCTCTGGGCAACCAATTTCAGTCAAGTCTTTTTCTCAATAGTGATTTAGTGAGTGCTCCTCTCCCTCAACATACGTAGAGTCAGTGTGCTATGTATAAGCCACCTAAAGGGCACAGAGAAGGGTTTTCACATTCAAAAAGGATAAGCAAGGAGCTACAGAAAGATATAACTAGCTCACTTACTATAACAAGAATCCGACTGTGAAACTGCTAATAAGGTTACATAAAGTGAATGAGACTCTGATTGGGGAGAGGTTTAAAAAGAGGCCACATTTATAGTGAACCTAAAACGCAGAAGGAAGCAGCAAGTCATCTCAGCAATAGCAGCAAGGTATAATTTGAGCAAAGGTACAGAAATGTGAAAATACAGAGTTGTTCAGGGAACAGCTGATGGTGCTGGTTGTTGAAACAAAAGTTATATAGGCAGAAAGGTTAAGAGTTTGAGGAACAAAGTTCTCTGTGTCCTCAAGGAGTCCATTCAGTGAGTTCTTTTCAGGTTCGGGGGTGGAGATTCTCTGACAACTCCCTTAGGAACAGGTCCTACGTGTGACCTCTATTTCCTCCTTGTCCCTGAAGTTTGTTTTTGATTTCAGCCCCCATATCTTTTGCTACTCTGCAAAGTAAAAAACAAAACAAAACAAAAACCCTCTTTTATTTTTCCCATTAGACTTTGTTGCTCTGGGATTTATGAACCATTGTAATTTTGTATGTTTATGTCTTGGGCTGGGAATTGATTCCAGGGCCTTGTGCATGCTATTCAAGTGCTCTACAACTGAGCCACACCCCAGCTTCCACCTGTTGTAAAATATATGAAAAACAAAATGGCATATGAYTTTGTACAAAAGATTGAGATCTTGGGGTAAAAGTGTGTGAGTCTAGCAAAGTGGGAATCAGGTAGTCCCATTTAGACTCTCCAAAGTARGGGTGGTAGGGGTGAACAATGACAATGAAGTGAGAAAATGATGCTTGGCATATAGGTGGTGCTCAATTAGTATTTGTTGAATAAGTGAGTCAAKGAAAAACTTGATGGCCTCTTTTGCATTAATTGCAAGGTATCTTTGGGGTATGACCATCTGTGAAAGAACATTTTTCCTATTTGGGAAAGAGGAAGAAAGGGGCGAAGAGCTATATGTATCCTGGCTGTCCATGTGATTATGGCCAGGCTTCCTCTGGAGTTAAGAATTCCTTGTCTGGCAGTTTTCTTTTTCAAGGTAGAAGGGTGTGTGTGTGTGTGTGTGTGTGTGTGTGTGTGTGTGTGTTACACAAAATACAGTTGACCCAATGTTTATTTCCTTCTAGTCATGGTAAGATCTGAAGATTTTAGGTTATAAGACCATTCCTTTACCAGAGGAAACTGTGGGTAAAAATGAAAACAAGAAAAAGATTTAAAAACAGGGAGTGGAGAGCTCAATTTTACTTGGCAAATATGTGCTTGGTACTAAGGATACAAGAAGACTTTTAGGGGGGTACTAGGGATTGAACTGAGGGTCTCATATGTGTTCATCCAGTGTTTTACCCTGAGCTACATCTCCAGCYCCAGAAGACTATTCTATAAATAAAGAGCTTTGATTGTGAAAAGATGTAACACCAGAGTACTTGATGCATGGGAGACAGTGCTGTAACAGAGAACAAAGCCACCAGCAGCAGCCGCCCTTATAGGTTGGGAATGCATACTCTCTGACCTCATCTCAGACTGACTGAATGTGAATCTGTCTTAACAAGTCCGTAGGTGAATAGCTTGCATAGTAATACTTGAAAGGTGCTGACCAAGAGGGCAGGGATGATGTCTGGAAATGTTTCCTAGAAAAGGCAAATCCTGAGCTGTGTTTTGAGGATGCCTTGATTTAACCAGGTGATGTTCCAAGAAGAGGCAACAATGTGAGCAAAAGTTCAGTAGCATAAAAAAGCATAAAAAAGGGATGTTTTGGAAGCCAGTAGTCTGAAACTGCTAATTAAAAGGAATAGTGTGGGAGAGAGAAGGGGGAAAATAAAGGGAGAGAGTAGAGGTCAGGCTGTGGCCAGATCTTGCTGCACATGTTCTAGGTTAAGGAGCTTTGMCTAGACTTAAGCCATGCTAGAGATGTGTAATGACATGTTCAGGTTTGCTTTTATATCACTGCAGGCTGAGGGGGCTGAAAACAGGAGAGGCTGAAGGATAGAGAAATTAATTAGGAAGCTAAGGCAACAGATGCATACAGAGATAATGAGAGTTTTAATTCAAGTAATGGTAGTGGGGATGAAGAGGAGGGGACAACTTTAAAAAACTTTAGGAGGTAATGAATAGATGAAAGACTTCAGTATGGATTGCAGATGGGAGGCTGGGAGAAGACTGAGTGTTAACTGGATGACTCGCCGCCTTCTGGCGGGTATTAGTGGGTGGTTGCTCATGATGCCACTAGTAGATGAAAGAATAAAGGAGGATGAGCAGGTTTGAGAAGGGAAATTATGAGTTCAGTTTTAAACATGCTCAGCTCAGGTGAACAGAAAACATGTACAGGAGGGGTAAAAAGAAGAAAACAAATAATGGGTGGAGAACAGGATGAGTCAATCAAGGTGAAGAAGGAAAATGATGAGAAGGAAACAATGCTTTGTTCAGATATGGAGCTACAGTAATAATACATACCTGCGAATTTTCCTTCCAATTCACTTCCAGTTCAAAGGAGGCTGCCCCCTTTGACTAAAGCAAAGTCTCATTGGTGGTTTCCTATGTGGTGATGAATTTATTGTTGCCACCATTTGCTCTGTGGGGAAAAAAAAGTTTCTAAAGTGAGGTTCAAGACATTCCAGGGTCAGAATCACCAAAACAGCTGCCCCGCCCCCCCCCATATTGCCCCATGGGTAACTTTGCTTATGTCCCTAACACTGTTTCCAAAGTGGCAATAATACAATACTAAAATGTGTGTGTGTGTGTGTGTTTGTGAGGGCCATTCAAGTTCTGAATTACTCGGACCACAAATCTAACCCTGAGAACTTTTACAGTTCTTTTAATTGCACCTTAAAATTCAGAATCATTTGGATCATTTCCATAATTGTTTTCTGTTCAGTAATCTGTTCTTCTGCGCACGTTCCAGACTTCTGTGTCTCCAAGGCAGAAACTTGAGAAGTACTTAAAAAATTTTCTGATCGGTCATCACTAGCCAATAAAAAGCAGAAGGTTGGCACGTGGTTTTATTAGTTCGGGCAGGAGGAAGATGTTCCCACCAGATCCTTTCGCTTTTGCCAGGTTCAAACATGGCGGGCCACAGCCAGCCCTTCCAGAACACTCAGCTCACTTTCCAGCAATCCCCTCYAGTCTTCGGCTCTCCTTTTTCACCTTCCGTCACACTCGGTAGCTCAGGGTGTTTAGAGAGTGACAGCGACCCTGCTTCACGCCCCCACGCAGAGGCCCGCCCATCACCCCGCGCCAACCAATCGCAGGCCGCGCTGCTGCGGCAGGCAGCGCCGGCCCGCCCCGCCCCCAGCCTCGCTGTGGCCTGCGGCTTCCCCGGCCGGTAGCGCCGCTTTTGGTCGCGTGAACTGGTCTAGTGGGACGGTAGGTCGCGAGCTCTTGCCGCGGGCTGCAGCTCAACTATTCCCGCCGTGGTAGTCAGCCCGGAGCCTCCGCCATGGACTTCGAGGACGGTAAGCACCGCCTCGGGCTGGTGGTCGCGGCATGCGGGAGGCGGGGTGGCCTGTGCTGGGGGTCTGTTTACCGTCTCAAGATGGCCGTGTGGGCTTTGTTCTGCCGGCCCGGAGGCCACCCGCCCTCCGCGGGCCCAGCGCCGGGACTTGGCCTCCTCGCCTACCCACGCGCCGCTATTCGGCCCGCCTGGGTGACCACTGCTAAAGGGGATCTGAGCGGTCCGTGCCGATCTCGGTGCGGAGAAGGAAGAGCACGGAGCGCGAGGGCCTCGGGGTTCGGGCCCCGGAATCGCCCTGCCCCCCTGGGCGTGCAGATTGCCTCYACTCCTCCAACTTCCCGGCCTCGGGCAGCGGGGCGAGCGGGCCGCCCCAGCGTGGCTCCCTTTGGCCCCAAGGGGTGGTGACCGTGATCGCCCGTTTAGTTAATCCTCAACCTGGGTGACTTCTTGCTAAATACAGTTTCCAGAAGCTTGTACGCGGTGTTGTTCCTGGTTGACTTAGTTCAAGATGAGTTTGAAGGGCGTCATATTTAGGTAGATATTTATACCGAACGAGAAGCAGTCTATTTCCTGGTTAGCAAACTGGGATATTTCATCCCCCTAAATTACCTAGACTTAAATACCTAATAGGCAGTACATTTGTGAACCAAAGCACTTTTTTTTTTTTTTTTAAGCTTGTGCTAAGTCAATCAAAATTCTGGCACAGCAAGCATCAGACGCCCTTCACATCAGTACACAGCAGCCTGTGTTGGATTTACTGATTAAATAATCGGGATTTTTACAAGACCTTTCAATCATCTCTGACACCAGTTCACAGGGTCACATAGTAGAATTATTTTGGTTGTCCTCAAATCTTGTCCAACTTTTATAGGACTGAGCATCAAGATAAAATGGTATGTAGTGACATCACTAAGGAGACATGGGAAAGAGTTTATATTATTACACGGAATTAATCCTGAGTAACCGGGCACTTCTAAATAAAACCAAATCACTAGGAATTGTATGCATTCAATCCCACCAAAAAATGATCTTTAACATTGAATGAACTTTTGATCTTTTGTTTTCATAAGACAGATAGTTAAAACTGCCAAATCTAAGTATGGGAAAAGTGATAGAATAACTCTTTTGTTATTGTTTCTTTCTTTTCACCATATGCCTACAGCTATAAAGTGTTTGTAATTGCCCATCACTGCTCATCCTCAGCCACCTTGCTGTATTTACAAGATGGAATTTGACTTAAAGGGTTTATCTGAATATAATCCTGTGTACTGTTGTAGTGTTCTTTTGTATCCAAATGACCATTGAATTGAATTCTATTCTTTTCATCACTTGTAAACTTAAGAATTTAACTTTGTGAAATTAGTTTTTGACAAAGAAATTGGCAGTATGGTTTTTTTGTGTTGGTACATCTTGGGTAGATGTAGCACAAACTCAAATATGCATTTCTCTGATAAGATCTTGAAATCTTTAGAGAGCAAATTAAATGATAAAAGAAATATTAACTTTGAAAACAATTTGTTAACATAGAATCAATTCTCAGATGTATCTGATTTTTACATTTTTGATACATAATATGTCTGCCCTTTTGTTACTTAATATAAATCAATACTAAATCCCCTCTTTTGGCTGCTATTATAATATCAGGTGTTACAAACTAATTTTTACATTGGCATAACTTGGATGATGAACCTGTCATTTGGCTAGGTAGTGAAGAACATGAATACATGTTTTCCCAAATGAATATTGGTAATTATTTGTGCCCCAGCTGTTCAGATAATTGAGTCAATGGCATTTAAAAATCGTGTTAATAGATGGATTTATAATTTTGGGTTTTTGTAAATACTGCACTAATTCCTTTTTGTTAAATATGTCTTCATAGATTACACACACTCTGCTTGCAGGAATACTTATCAGGGCTTTAATGGTAAGTATTCTCTTTCATTTGCTATTAAAATTGTTGAGGGAATGCATTTTGTTTTTTTCTTTCATATCCATAAAAGTAAAGAGGCAATGGAAAAAGCCAGTCCCACCTTATTTCAAACATTGTTTTGGCTTGTGATTTATTAGGTTTCAGTGTTGTTATACTATCATTTAGGATCAGAAAAGGTTACTCAAATTGGTTTGAATTTTTGTCTTTTTATTTATATTATGATTATTTTAACTTATTTCAAAGACTGACTACATTCTCAGTATAGTGGAGGTCTTTTTTTAAAATTGGTTTAAAAATAAATAAATAAGTGAATGAATGACAGTGGAATGCATTACAATTCATTATATTACACATATATATGCATTACACATTAAATTACATATATCACAATTTTTCATATTTCTGTATATATAAAATATTTTGACACCCAATTTGTGTCTTCATACATGTACTTTGGATAATGATGTCTATCACATTCCACCATCCTTGTGGAGGTCTTTTTTTGATGTTTAGTAACGTAGATTTAGTGGATTACTGGCTTGGTTCTGTATATCTTTACAATAATGCATCTTGTTTTTGATGGCTGGGGGAGGGTACCAGGGATTGAACTGAGGGGTGCTCAACTACTGTGCTACATCCTCAGCCATTTTTTGTATTTTATTCAGAGACAGGGTCTCACTGAGTTGTTTAGCGCCTGGCTAAATTGCTGAGGCTAGCTTTGAACTCAGGATCCTCCTGTTTCAGCCTCCCTCCTGTCTCAGCCTCCCCATCTGCTGGGATGGATTACCGGTGTGTGCAGCTGCATCTTGTTTTTGAGGCCATTTTTTTCTCAGTGTGTTCAAATGTGTTGGTATATAAGAGCTGCCTGGAGAAGTATATGAAAAGACTGATTTGTTTATTGACATAAGCATGATGTTAGGTGCTAGCTAGATAAAATCACAAGAGAGATGTAGAATAGAATTGAATGTTATTTTGATAGTTATTAGAGTTAAGTCCCTGCCAGAGAGGATAATAACACAAAAAAGAGCATAGAACAATTTAAAAAGGTTAAAAAAGCATTATATGAAATACTTGAAGGAGTGATATCCTATCTGCCAGAGAAAGGCAAAATCCAGCTATGGTAGAGAATATAATGTGCTCACAAAATAAAACRTAAGTAGATGAACTACTAAGAAGACTGCCATTTTATAGAAATAATTACCATGCAGTTTTAATTTATTATCTCTTAACGATTAAGAGAAACTTTGGATTTGATGTATAAAAAAGGCTCAACATGTAGGAAATAGTCAATATATATTAAATGAATGCTTAAGAATATGTTTTTGAGAGGAAAAGTGATGTACAGTTACCAAAGGAAATTTAGTTTACTTCAACATAGCCACGCATAGGTTAGATTGGGACCTGGAAAATTAGAAAACTTTACAAATTCAGATGTAGGGAATTTAAGACCTTCGATTTTTTTTTAATATTTATTTTGTAGTTGTATTTGGACACAATACATTTATTTTATTTTTATGTGCTGCTGAGGATCGAACGTACTAGGTGAGCGTTCTACTACTGAGTCCCAGCCCCAAGACCTTAGACTTTATTTTATTTTTAATATTTATTTTTTAGAAGTAGTTGGACACAATACCTTGATTTTGTTTATTTATTTTTATATGATGCTGAGGATCTAACCCAGGGCCTTGCATGTGCTCGACGAGTGCTCTACTGCTGAGCCACAGTCCTAGCCAGAAGACCTTAGATTTTAAAGATGATGATGTTAAGAAAATTAATAGAACTTGTAAGCTGACTAATAATGGGTAAAAATTTGATAGGGTTGAGTAAAAATGAACTCAGGATTTTAAACTGAAGTGAGTAGGTCTTGTGCTTTAACCAAAGAGATTTGGAAAGACAGAAGACCTGAAGAATTGGATTTACAATCTAAAGAAAGGAGGTGAAATGCAAAATCATTCAGCACTAGACATTTTTTTTTCCTTATGAATGTACAGTGTTACAAAAGAGATTTAATGCTGAATTTTTGTCTCTTTAATTTTAGTTCCAGTAGTGGTTCTCATCAGAGGGTGATTATTAGAGTCCTCTGGGGAGCTATTTCAAAGTATGTTTGTTCAAGTTATACCCTACACTTCATAAACTTAGTTTTAGGGCAAGCTATCCCTGACTATATATGTGTTGCAAAAGTACTCTGAATGAATTATTTTGGCTTTCACCTCTGGTTAAAGACCACTAATTGAAAATACTTGAGGTCTTAGTTAATTACATATCACAGTGACTAACTTTAGGAATTTGATTTGACTTCATTGGACAAATATTTATTTAGTGACTCCTGTGTATCAGATATTTTTCTAGGAGCTAGGACTGCAGAAGTGAAAAAAAAAAAAAAGGATAAATATTCCTTCCTGTGTGGCACTTCAGTCAAATAGAAAACAAGATTAAAAAAGTAACAAATGTTGTATGTTAAAATTGCTAGGTAAAAAATGCTAGGGAGAAAAATAAGGTAGGAAAGGGGGACAGGTGTGTATGTGTAAGTTGTGATTTTAAAGAATTTGGGGAAGGACTCACAAAACAGGTGACATTTAAGCTCAGACGCAAACCTTGAGGGCTATCTAGAGAAAGAACTTCAGGAAATAAAAGATATGTAGGTACCCAATGAAACCAACAATATACTTCATTGTTAGCACCATATTTTCTAGCTTTCTACTGAAATGAAGTATAAGGCATCAGAGAAAATGTGATTTCCTCCATACTATTTTTTGAAAGGAAGTTATATTTCCAGCGTTTCCATGCTTTCCGTTTTATTCATAATAACTCTTTTTATATAAATAGACCATAGAAAAAGGAAGAACTTTCCAGGTAGAGGGAAATGAATGAACAAAGCTAGGAGTGAGTATACTGTGCTTCTCAGAGACTTAACTGGTTTGACTAGAATAGATTATTTTTGCTGAGCAATCTGAAGACTAAGGCCAGAGAGGTGAGGTGTAGCCAGAAGGCATTGAAAATCAAAGGTAATTTACATATATATGGGAAGCTATAGAAAAGACCAGAAAGAGGTGAGTAGTGAATAGTGCCAATAGGGGAAGAGTATTCCTGGCCTGGCAAGCTGCAAAGTACATAAACTAGCATACACCTGTTCTAGAAACTGCAAGGAGCATAGTGTAGCTGGAATGCACAAGGGATGTTGGAAGAGAAGAGGTAATGGGGCAGATCATATAGAGTAAATTTCCTCAACTTTGACACTGTTGACATTTTGAATTAGATAATTTTTTGTTGTGGGGCAATGTCTTGTTAGTTGAAAAGTGAACTCAGGATTTTAAACTGAAGTGAGTAGGTCTTGTGCTTTTACCAAAGAGAGATTTGGAAAGACAGAAGACCTGAAGAATTGGATTTACAGTCTAAARAAGGAGGTGAAATGCAAAACCATTCAGGGCCAGGCATTTTTTTCCTTATGAATGTACAGTGTTACAAAAGAGATTTAATGCTGACTTCTTTTTTCTTAATTTTAGTTCCAGTAGTGGTTCTCATCAGAGGGTAATTATTAGAGTCCTCTGGGGAGCTATTTCAAAGTATGTTTGTTCAAGTTATACCCTACACTTGTTTAGTAGCATCCTTGTTCTCTGGCCCCAGTTGTAATAATCAAAAATGCTTTCAGACAGTGCCAGTGTCTCTGTGAGCCCCAAATTGCCCCTGATTAAGAACCACTGATATATGACCTTTGGGTTTTTTTTTTTTTTTTTTTTTTTTAAGGGGTTTGCCTTTTACTTGGAATAAGATGGAAGCTGTTGGAGGATATTGAGCATTGGACATGATATAACTTAAATTTGCCAGAATTTTTCTGGCTTTTGTCTTTAGAATAAACAAAAAGCTAGTAAAAGTAGAAGTGGGAAAACCAGTTAGGAATCTATGATTGTGATCCAAGCAATAGCATGGATTTCATTCAAATTAATAGGTCTGTTTTATTAAGTCCTGAGTAAATTGCTCTCTTATCTAACACTAATAGTAAAGAGATAAAAGAACTGTTATTTTTTGTGTACTCTATAGTGCCTGACATAAAAGTGTTCAGTAAATGTTAGTTATTCTATGATAGCATAGTAAAATAAAATAAACAGAATTAAAGAAAAAGGAAATAACTAAAGGATTTAGTACTCAGAGGCAGCCACTGCTAACTCAAAAAGGGCAAAAACAACAAGATTTTTTTGCGTTCTGTGTTTGACTAAACCTAGATTATATATGTTTAAAATTTTTTTTTATGGACACAATACCTGTGTGTATTCAATTTAATTTATTTATTATTTTAATGTGGTGCTGATGATAGAACCCAGTGCCTCATATGTGCTAGGCAAGTAGTCTATCACTGAGCTACAACCCCAGTCCTTAAGATTATATTTTAATGTGAGTCCTTAGAGGAAAACATTTTTTATGTTAAACTTTATCTCAAAATTGTTATCTCTAGGAGAAAAACAGTTGTGTATTATACTACATCTTAAAACATTTMAGACAAATAATTGACTATTTTATTAATGTAGAAATGTGTTGCTCATACTGTGGTAGCCATKATCATAGGAAACTATTGAACACTTGAAATATGGGTAGTCTGAAATGAGAGGTTCCATGAATAAATTAACGTACTGTATTTGAAGCCTTAGTATGAACAAACGATGTAAAAAATCTCATTAGTGCTTTTTTATATTGCTAAATGTTTTGTACTCTGTTATATTAAAATCCATTGGTATGTCTTGTACTTTGAATGGACCTTTTTACCATGTATGATTCTGTAATATTTATAAAATATTCATTTGCTGCATTATGCAGACAGGTTTTATTGTATGATATTTAAAAAACCAGTTAATACTAACAACAGTCTTATCAGAAAAACATTGAAGTATTGACACGCCGTCAAACTGATAAAAAATTTTTTAATTCTAATTTTCACTTAAAGGTATGATTTTTATCATTGGCAACAAGTAACATTTAKCTTTAGTTGTTTTCCTTGAAGCAACAGTTTACTTCGTTCATTTTTGAGAAAATGTTTGCTACATGCTCAAGTCTGAAAACCAGTTTTTGACTTTCARTCTTTCTAGAAAAGAGCACTTTCCTAGTAAAAAGTGGCTAATTTAATTCATAAATGAAACACTTGAGGATGGCTTTTCTTGGAAGGATCTGGGATGCTTTGGTAGGCTGCAGAAATGGTTCATGTATACTTCCTCTTTCATTACATAGAATGTAAAAAAAGATGTTACATCAAAGATCATGATGTAATAAAAATAATTATTGCTTCATCAAGGACACGTTTAAGTGAAAGTAATATTTTTATTTATTTTTTTCATTGTGGGTGTGTGATATTAAGTCTGGTGCCAGCTACTGCCTTAATTTGTGGCTGAAATGCCAGCAGTTTTACCCACCAGTACTTTGTACCTTCAATGTCAACACCCTGAGAAAGGCAAATAATGCCTTATTATTATTTATTAAAATATTTTTGACCTTGTGAATCCCTAGAAAAACGGTCTTAGCAAATCCCAGGGATCAGCAGACCATTTCATGAGAACTATTCCTATAAGATATATAAAAAAATTAGTGGTCTCTCTCTTCTCTTAGAGGACCTGCCCGTTTCCCTTGAGAATGTTTCCCTTTTCCCTTTTTCTGTCTCTACTAATAAACTCATGCCTGTTTCTCTGAAACATAAGATTCTTAAAAAATCAGATCCTTAGCACAAAACTGGTGTTTAAGATAAGGCATGAACAACAGAATGTAAGACTTAAAATGATAGCACCACATAAGATATACAGGCTTTTGTAAATAGTAGAGAGACAATATCAGCAAACATTTTATTGATAGGTTATTTCAAGTAGACTTTAAAAATTAGAAGGTTTCACTAAGCAGGTGTTTAAGTGGTAGAAGAAAATGTTTCATATATAAACAACAGTTTGAAGCTAGACAGGAGTATGTCTACAAGATTTGGGGGAAATCATTTCACATTTCTCAAATCTATAAAATGAGAAGATTAAATTTGATAGTTTAGGTTGCTTCCAGGTTTAAAATGACAAAACTCTCAATTTTTTCAGTTCTTCTCATTATTAGAAATATTAAATTATTATAAGTAATGCTTTAAAAATATAAATTCAAGTATTTGTATTCACTGTTGTACATAAAATATGGGGAGGGTAGTAATGAGGCATTTTAAGTGACTTTATAGGAAACATTTTAAATAGTAGTTTTAATTTTAAATTTTTATAGTCAATGTAAATTAATTTTATTACCTCATTGTATTTATTTTTCATATCAGAGGTTAGGATATAGGTAGAATTGCAGTGTATTAAAATATACCTAATACCCTTGTTGTGTCACAACATTTTTTAGTGTTTGTATTGCTAGAATTCATATTCATATCCTTTATTCAAGAGAATTTGAGTGTTTGTTGTTTGTTGAGTCATTATTTATAGACATGGTGCCAGTGATTGATCCCAGTCTGTGATTTTACTTTTTTAAAATATCTGTTTCAGTTAATGTGAATGGAGCTAGTAAAAAATGTAGCTGTTTCTGAGTTTTTAGACATTTGAGGAGAATTAAATGCAGAAGATTAAGTACAGTAGGCTTATGTCACAGCATGCTTAGGACAAAAAATCATCTCTTTTCACTTTATTAAATGCTGACTTATCTTGAGAATAGGAATCGTGTATTATTAATTATATATGCTGTAATACCAAATACAAGACTTATAGTAAACATAGTTTTTTTAGTCAATTAAGTATTGGTTAAATTAAAAATAATTCTAATATAGAATTTTGTAGTTGATAATATGCTTTTCTCTGAAATACAAAGCTTTGTTAGCAAGTAGTYGTTTTGATGTGTTCTCTTTCAATGTCTCATATATGAGTTTAGCTTAATTAATGACAAAATTATTATCTCAGGTGATTGATGTGAATATCTTGTTTTATACCAAGTTTTCTGAAGAAAATGATATATTTTATTAAAGTTTCCTCATTGACTCTCTTTTAGGAATGGATCGCGATTATGGCCCTGGATCTTATGGAGGTCTGACATTCAAGGATATTTATCTAAAAATTCTTCTTTTGAGTGCCAGTAAAGGTGAGCATCATTTAATTTTTTTCTTTTTAAACTCTTATAGGGATGGATCGTGACTATGGCCATGGATCCTATGGGGGTCAAAGATCCATGGATTCCTACCTAAACCAGTCATATGGCATGGACAATCACAGTGGTGGTGGTGGGGGTAGCAGGTAAATTGCTTAATCACTTGGCCAAWTAATTAGACAACTATAAGATTCTGGATATATTATTTTAAGTATTCTTTAGGCATGTTATAATTCTTGAACTTTGTTGTTTAGAATTGAATAATCACCTTAAATATTTAAAGGTGTTAATGCTCATAAAAATTATCTCAGGAGCACTGCCAGACATTATTTTACAGAAATCTCAGCTAACTATTATCATTTCAATATAATAGAGTAAGATATTCTATCTTCAGCAGTGAATTTTTTTTTTAACTTTTACTTTTAACTCCTTACCAGTCAAAATGTCTGAACAACTGATACGAAAATTTGTTTCTAAAAATATTACTTGTGAAGCTTAACAATTAAAGAAAAAATATCTTTTCAAATGTGGGGTGTTATGTAAAGCCGGAGAATGGGTTTAAGTGAATCAGTTTAGCAACATTCAATTTCTATAAGAAACATTTCAGAAAGTTTTTTTTTTTAAATTCTAAAGTAAGTTGTAAGAGCATATTGTGATAATAAGAGTGTTCTTCAAATCATATCCAGGTTATTTATTGGCAGTTACTGTTTACAAAACACTTGTTCTCCAGGTTAGGAGCATTGTATTAAAGCCTCATATACTGTACCTTCGATTACAGTCTAGATTGTATCTATATATCATGGTTGATACTTTGTAAAACTTAAGTTTATCTACAGACTTTAGGATTGACTGAATTTCAGGAAAGGGGGGTCTACTTTTTGAGGCACAAAGCTTCCTGCTGAATATTAAGTAAAACTAAGTTAGGAGACATTTGAAATCATCGTTCCTTCTTCATAAATTGAAGGATCCGGATTCCTTAATGATGGACCGAATGATGCTTACTTTTCTTCTTTCTGCTTCAAGTGTGCCACTATGATTTATAGTAGAGAAAAATCAAGAAAATGAACAGTTAACTTTTTTCTTATGTGGAAGAAGTTTTGAAATACGTAGTTGAGAAGAGGAATAATTTTTATATGACTACTAGTATTTAGAAATGAATAGTATCTTCTATATAGTGATCTGTAATTGATTGAAGTAATGTAACACATTTAAATGCTTGGAAATGTCAGTTATTGCCCTATTATGTTGTAAATGTAATGTGTGCATAAACTGTTTCTGTAGATGTTATCGTTTATCTCATGTAATTGTGGGCCTTTATAAAACTGTGTTGTAAGATAACAAGTAATTTTTGTAATCCATGTTTTAGTTTTGTGAGAAGTAGGATGACTTTTTTTTTTTCTGTTGACTTAAAACATGGAGACTGTGCTCTCCTTTTTTAGAGTAGTTTAATGTGATAATTTTCTGATAGGAAATAGTTTTTCAAATAATTGAAGACATTTTAAAATGTGTTCTTTCTCATCTGCCTTGAAAATTCATATGCAGAGGGTATATGTTGGTGATCTTTTACTTTTTATGTTTTAGTTTATATGTTTATCCTTCTAGATTTGTTAGGTTTACTAGTCTACAAGTAAAAAGTGATTAGGGATTGATTATTCACCTTGGCCTAAGTTTGGCAGATTGTCAAAATTTTATAACCTGAGATAATTCCTTAAATTTTGATTATTACAGACACAAGGAGGCAGCTTTGTGATAATAGATTATTGGGGGTGCGAAAGGATCGCTCTCTGYCACAAATAGCCTACATCTATTTAGTCTTCAATTTGTGTCCCAATGGAAAGCCAAAACATTGTAAATGCTTTGTGATTTTCAATTTAGGGATGGTGTCAAAGAAAGTTTGAATAGTTTGTGAACTTTAGCAAATGACCTTTTCTAAGACTAGGGCTGGGCTTAAATAATCACAGACTAATCTTTTCTTCATCAAATTGAAATGCTGCTAAAAAGCAGATATTTAAGCTAAGGTTTCCTATTATCAATTCATATTTAGAAACTGACTCAGATAGCTTTCTATCTGGTGTCATGTTGAACTGCCCAGCCCTAATCAAGTGTGAACAAAAGTAGAACTGTGCAAATCAGTATGGTATAAATGAATTTTAGTTGATAAATGTCATCTGATAATTTGTCTTTTGAATTGTCTAACATTAGTAAGCTTACTTTTGTTTTTTCCCTTACTGTGCAACTTTTCCAGGTTTGGACCTTATGAGTCTTACGACTCCAGGTCTTCTCTGGGTGGGCGAGATCTGTACAGATCTGGCTATGGTTTTAATGAACCCGAACAAAGCCGCTTCGGAGGTAGTTATGGTGGTCGATTTGAGAGCTCCTACCGGAATAGCCTTGACTCTTTCGGAGGTAGAAACCAGGGCGGGTCTAGCTGGGAAGCACCTTACTCCCGTTCAAAATTGAGGCCTGGGTTTATGGAGGACAGAGGAAGAGAGAATTACTCTTCCTACAGCAGTTTTTCTTCACCCCATATGAAGCCTGCACCTGTAGGCTCTCGGGGGAGAGGAACGCCTGCTTATCCTGAAAGTACGTTTGGAAGCAGAAACTATGATGCTTTTGGAGGACCATCAACAGGCAGAGGCCGAGGCCGAGGAGTAAGTACAACAGAATCTTTTCAGATTCTTTTCACTAGTCAACTCTTTTAAACCCTTTCAAGACCATGGTTTTCAACTAGAATAAACACTGTTCATCCCAGTGTATTTTAAGCAAAAGCTGAGTCATAAACATAAGTTTTAGGTTGACTATAAAAGTTTTTCTAGCACCTCAGAAAATAGGTGGCAGTTTGAGATGAATGTTCATAAAATTATGCCATATCTCCCTTTATTAAAAAGGTGAGGATGTTAGGTTTGGTCTAAAAGGGGTTAAAAGGAGTTGCATTTTTCCTTGTAAACACTAGCAGTTTTGCTGGTGGGACAGTTCTTGGATTATTGTAAAAGGTAACTGAACCCTTTTTGAGCTTTTGAGTAGGTTAAAGGTGCAATGTATGATAAAATGTTTATGCTTTGTTACTAAACCCTAGCAGTTAGAATTTCTTTAGAGCTCTATGTTTCACCTTAAACACAAGAGACTAAAAGTTGGTGATAAATCAGGAGAGCATGGTGAAGTCGATGTGTATAATAGATTGTAGAATGATTTGTGGTCAGTATAATTTTGATAACTTATTGTCTTACAGTATGTCCTGTTGGTGGTTGCTTTATTTCCCCTTGTGTCTCTAGCTTTACTATTGAGAAATAATTTTCTACCTATAAAATGTAAGACATGGTTATGGCTCCTTCCTAGACAATAATATTTTGTAAATTATTACTTAAATGAGTATATATATTAGTCCTCAGGTGTTTAATTTCAGGAAATATAGAGATTATATTTTATGTTTTTAGGTTATGTGATTGATATAAAATTTTACCTAGTAAGTGTATGTAGATTTTGGGATTATTTAGTTTGATCGTATTAAAGACTATTGTATTTTTGCTATAATGTAAGAATTTCTTTGGAAGGCAATTGCTCTTAATATTCTCTTTGCAGAGGAAAGTACCTGTAATAAAAAATGTAGTAGAGCACATATTTTCAACTGTTCATTAGCCCTTGGTACGACAGTATAGTTTGTCATACTTGTGTAGAAATTTTGCAGTTTTAACAGTTACTCTTTACTTATGTAAAATGCATTGCACCTTTAATGGATAGTTAACAAAGATTTTTCTGATGTGACTACATAGATTACCAAAAAAGATTAATATGAAACTACTAGGTTAGTTAGGTATACCTAAGCCATAATATACAAGTGTAAGCAACTGTGTTGCTCTTCCACCATATTTGATGATTGTAGGTTAATTGAAAGTAGTCAGAGTGGTAATAGACTTGCTTTGGGTTTTGAAATTGAAAATTCATTCTAGTTTGGAAATTGGAAAACACTTAACATTGTTAATATGTTAGGTGAAGGATTTTTTTTCCTAATAAGAACCTCACATGTCAATTTTGTTTTCATGATAGTAAATCAAGTATTTCTGTACTTTGTATTTACATACATTCTAGTCTGAATGGACTTCTCTTTCTTTCCTCCTGTTAACCAAGTAGATGAGCCAAGTAGGATCTTCATTTTTAATCTTCACTTGTACAATTCCCATTGGGTCCTTCTCTTCAGATTACTCCTTAATCTTTACCTTCTAAAAGTAAGATTAGCAGAATAAATTTCTGTGTACATGTGACTTCTTGGTGTAGTGGAGTTTGCTAATGGTAAGAGAAGAGGAAGGGATATAAAGAGTCGTTTGGTGGCATGACTCTTCGTCTGTAAACTTTTGCTTCTTGGGCTTCTGGGTCAGAATGTTTCTCTAGGTAAGAATGTGAATGGAACGTCAGATGCAATTCTTTATCTGAAGTGTGTTTTGGAAGTTGATGCATGGTTATGCTTTAACTCTCCTATTTCATACTAATGTTCCATCTCGCCTTCTAATTCCCTTTTTCAGCAGGGAGAAATCCTAAATGATTTCTGGATCTTTTTTACTTCAAACTACAAATATGATCTTCTTTGTGTATCTTAGCTTTTAGCCAGGTTTTAGTAAAATAAAGATTTCTTTTAAGGTCTTTTCATGGAAAAACATCAATTAGGAACTCTGAAGAGGAGTTGTCAGAGAGTTGTACAAGTGGTAACCTTCTGACAGGCACATATGTTGTTCATGATCTCAGATAATTTTGAATTGTAAAAATTAAAAAGTAGGAAATATTCACATTTGTTCTACTGGAAGTAAAAACACTAATTCACTGGATTCAAGTTCATGTAATACTTTACAAAGCTTTTTAATGTGTTTTTTCCAAGTGGACATGTAAAATTTAGTCACATTTCAGGGAATTTTCATGTGAAAACTAGTAAATAGATAAAGTGAAAATTTTATATGATTTATATTTTATCGTTGGACAATATGCTGATATTTTTTGATTTCACAAATTTACAGCATATGGGTGATTTTGGAAGCATTCATAGACCTGGAATTGTTGTTGACTATCAAAACAAACCCACCAGTGTGACAGTTGCTGCTGCAAGAGGAATAAAGAGAAAAATGATGCAGCCATTTAATAAGCCCAGTGGAACCTTTATCAAGAAACCTAAGCTAGCAAAACCTATGGAGAAGATGAGCCTCAGCAAATCGCCTAGTAAGTAAGAAAACATAATTGCTATGGTTTAGGATACTCTTTATTTTTTGAAATTTATTGCTTTAAGGTAATTTTCAGTGTTTATGTAGAAAAGCTGCATAATAATTATAACTATGCACATTAGATCTGTGAATCCCTAGTATAGTTATTAATTAGTCATGACTGCCCAGAAATACTTTTTAAATTTACACACCCTTGTCTAGATCTTTTTTCTGAGTTGTGTGAGGTGGGGCCCGAACATCTGTATTTGTAAAAAGGTAATACACATAATTTTGATTCACACCCCTTAATTGGCTGTTATAGTTTTTGTTGAAGGCATTGTTAATGAAGAGTGGTTTGTTATGTCAGAATCTCTTTGTGAGGACAAAGAAAGTTTTCCTGGTCCTTTGGCAATAGGGAAAACTGTTCTAGAAAACTCATTTGCTTTTAATCTTCTGGACATGATGACTCTTAGAGATATTTCTATTTATATATTGATGAGTGCAAATTTTTTTTTAAATTTTGAATTTGTCCTAATTAGTTACACATGACAGTAGAGTGCATCTTGACACATTATACACAAATGGAGCACAGCTTCTCCTTCTYTCTCTGAACATGGTGTAGAGTCACACAGATAGTGCAATTCTACATGTATCTAGGGTAATAATATTTGTCTCATTCCACTGTCTGTCCCATCCCCAACATCCTCTCCTCTCCCCTCACTCCCCTCTGCACAATCCAAAGTTCCTTCCTCCCCCACTCCCACCCCATTATGGATTAGCATTTGCTTATCAGAGATAACCTTCAGCCTTTGGTTTTCTTGGGTTTGACTTATTTTGTGCTTAGCATGATATTCTTCAGCTCCATCCATTTACCTGCAAATGCCATAATTTCATTGACCAGTGCAAAATTTTGAGCCAAACTGAAAATGGAATTAAAGTTTTACTCATAATAGCATCAAGCCAGGCAGGGGGATGTGATCTGTAGTTCCAGCTACTTGGGAGGCTGTAGTCATAGCATCACTTAAACGTAGGAGTTTGAGAAAAGCCTTGGTAACATAGTGAGACCTTATCTCAAAAAAAAAAAAAAAAAAAAAAAGAGGCATCAAGAATAATACATTACTTAGGAATACATTTTTAAAAAAAGCAAAACTAAATTTTGAAAATTATACAACGTTGTAAGATATTCAATCTAAACAAATGGAAAAACTAAACTAGGTTAGAAGACAAAATTGTCAAAATGACATTACTTTCTAAACTGATCTATAGATTCATCACAATCTTTATCAAAATTCCTGTTGTGTAAGTACTTAAACCTCATGATTTCAAAACTTACCACAAAGTGATGGTAATCAAGACAGTGTATTTAGATCAGTGGAATAAAGTTGAAAGTCTAGAAATAAACCCGGACATCTGTGGAGAACTGGTTTATAACAAGGGCATCAAGAKTTTTCAATGGAGAGAGAATAGTTTTTTTTTTTTTTTTTCTAATTTGTTATATATGACAGCAGAATGCATTACAGTTCATATTACATATATAGAGCACAATTTTTAATATTTCTGGTTGTATACAAAGTATATTCACACTRCTTAGTGTCTTCATGCATGTACTTAGGTAATGATGTTCATCTCATTCCACCATCTTTCCTACCCCCRTTCCCCCTTGYCCTCTCACCCCTTTGCTCTATCTAGAGTTCATCTGATCCTCCTTTGCTCCCCCTCCCAACCCCACTATGAATCAGCCTCCTTGCATCAGAGGAAACATTTGGCATTTGGATTTTTGCGATTGGCTTGCTTCACTTAGCATTATATTCTCCAACTCCATTCATTCACCTGCAAATGCCAAGATTTTATTCTCTTTTATTGCTGAGTAATATTCCATTGTGTATATATACCACATTTGATTTATCCATTCATCTACTGAAGGGCATCTAGGTTGGTTCCACAGTTTAGCTATTGTGAATTGTGCTCCTATAAACATTGATGTGGCTGTGTCCCTGTATTGTGCTGTTTTTAAGTCCTCTGTGTATAGACTGAGGAGTAGGATAACTGGGTCAAAAGATGGTTCCATTCCCAGTTTTCCAAGGAATCTCCATACTGCTTTCCATACTGGCTGCATTAATTTGCAGTCCCACCTGCAATGTATGAGTGTACTTTTTCCCCCACATTCTCACCAACACTTGTTGTTGTTTGTGTTCTTAATAGCGCCATTCTGATTGRAATGAGATGAAATCTTAGAGTGAGTTTTGATTTGCATTTTTCTAATGCTAGAGATGTTGAACATCTTTTTCATGTATTTGTTGATTTATTGTATATCCTCTTCTGAGAAGTGTCAGTTCAGTTCTTGGCCCATTTATTGATTGGGTTATTTGTTTTTTTTCATGTTTAGCATTTAGAGTTCTTTATATACCCTAGAGATTAGTGCCCTATCTGTTGTGCAAGTGGTAAAAATTTGCTCCCAAGATGCAGGCTCTCTATTCACCTCACTGATTGTTTCTTTTGCTGAGAAGAAGCTTTTTAGTTTGAATACATACCATTTATTAATTCTTGATTTTAATTCTTGCACTATAGGAATCTTATTAAGGAAGTAGGGGCCTAATCCAACATGATGGAGATTTGGGCCTACTTTTTCTTGTATTAGATACAGGGTCTCTGGTTTAATTCCTAGATTCTTGGTCCACTTTGAGTTGAGTTTTGTGCATGGTGAGAGATAAGGGTTTAATTTCATTTTGTTGCATATGGATTTCCAGTTTTTCCAGCACCATTTGTTGAGGAGGCTATCTCTTCTCCAATGTATGTTTTTGGTGCTTCACTCTTTTTGCAAAAGATTGCTTTAGCTATTCTGGGTGTCTTATTTTTACAGATGAATTTCATGACTGCTTTTTCTATTTCTATGAGGAATGTCATTGGGATTTTGATTGGAATTGCACTAAATCTGTATAATGCTTTTGGTAGKATGGTCATTTTGACAATATAAATTCTGCCTAAGAACAAGGAAGGGCTGGGGTTGTGGCTCAGCGATAGAGCGCTTGCCTCGCACGTGCGAGACCCTGGGTTCAATCCTTAGCACCACATACAAAAATAAACAAGTGAAATAAAGGTGTTGTGTCCAACTACAACCAAAAAAATAAATATGTAAAAAAAAAAAAAAAAAAAAGAACAAGGGAGATAGGGAGATCTTTTCATCTTCCAAGGTATTCTTTAATTTCAGTGTTCTGTAGTTTTCATTGTAGAGGTGAAAATAGTATTTTTGACAACTGGCTAGCCACATGCCAAAGCTAAAATGCAAGACCTACTTGGAAGATCTAAAACTATAAAACTCTTAGAAGAAAATACAGGGATAAATTTTCATGATTTTGGATTTGGCAAGGAATTTGTAAGACAAGATGAACAACAAAAAATAGGTAAATTGTCTTTATCAAAATTAAAACTTTGTGCTTCAAAGAACACCATCAATAGAAAATGAAAAAACAACTTATATAATAGGAGAAAATTATTTCTGTATGTCGTGCATCTGGGTAGCACTTGAATCCAGAATGTATAAAGAATTGTTAGAACTCAGTAACAAAACTACAACTCAAAAGTGGGCAAAGAATCCGAACAGACATTTGTTTCAAAAAATATATATAAATGGCCAATAAGCATATAAAAASGTACTCAATAATTAGGTATCAGATAATGCAAATCAAGACTGCAATCACATACTACTTCACATCCATTTGGATGGTTAGAATAAAAAAGATAAAAAAAGATACTAAGTTTTAACAAGGATCTGGGAAAATTAGAACCTTTGTACACGTTTAGTGGAAGTGTAAAATGGGGAAGCCACTTTGGAAAATAGTCTGGCAATTCTTCAAATGAATAAACAGAATCATCAAATGACCCAGCAATTCCACTTCTATGTTTATATCAAACATAAATGAAAATATCAGTTCACACATAAACATACAGTCAAATACTTCATAAAGATGTTTTGGTCAATGATAAGTACATATAGAATGATATATATCATATATTTTAGATGTGTAGTACACTATATCATCTAAGTTTGTGTAAATATACTCTGTGATGTTCACATAACAAAATAGACTAATGATGCATTTCTCAGAACATAGCCTGGTTGTTTAGCAACTTGTGATTGTATATGGATGTTTATAGCAGCATTATTTATAGTAGCTAACTAGATAAAAATCCAGATATTATGAGATGAATGGATAAACAAAATAGGGTCTGTCCATATAGCAGAGTGCTATTTGGTTATAAAATGGAATGAAGTACTGATCCTGCTATAACTTGAATGAACCTTGAAAGGATTATGATAAGTAAATGAAGCCAGTCATAAAAGTCCATATATTATATGATTTATTCATACGGACATTTAAAATAGGGAAATCCTTTAGAGATAGAAAATAGAAAATGATTATTTTGGGCAGTAGGGTGAGGAGTTGGGTAATACCTGAAGAATATCCAGTTTCTTTTTTGAGTTGATAAAAATGTTCTAAAATTGATTGTGATAATGGTTGCACGTATCTGTGAATACACTGAAAACTATTGGATCGTATAATTTAGAAGGGGGAATTATATTCCATAAAGCTCTTTTCTTTTTTTAAGAAAGCACAGAACCAAGTTACTCTTTTTTTCTCATTACTTTTATTTATGTTTCTCTGTTACTTTTGTTGTTTAACATTGTGACGTATCTCTAAATGGGAGCAAGTATATCTGAACAAATTATAGTAAGCCAAGGATATAATTAAAAAAGCTAAGGAAATATATTTATCAGCATTCTGTGAAAACATAATAGTAAAATTGTATACAGTAAATGTTTTGCCTGTGCATTGAATTACTTTTATTTTTCAAATTTTTGCCTTGATTATTACTAAAGTATTTTGTCTTTCTTAAGTAGGTGGTATTACAAAGGTGCAAAAGTTACTCTCTTCAGGATTAATAATTAATTACATAACTCATTTGGAGCTGAAGAAGGTTTAGATAATTGTAATAAATGAATGTTTTCAAGTTCTGGTGAAAGTTTTTGATGTTTTTACACTTAGTTTTAAAAATAAGATGTAGTGAGGATTACAGTGAATGTCTTAGAGTGTGTTTTTTGCTGTCAGAATTGCTAAGAAAGTGGTGGATAGCCTTTAAGTAATTTCCCCAAAAAGGGCAGAGGGAGTAAAGCATGAAGACCTAAGTAAGTCCTGATTTTTTAAAAACTTGTGTTTATATTATATATTTTTGAAATACAGTATGTTTGTTTTTTAAATTTTGTCTCCATTTAAGTTGCTTAAGGATTGATAAATATCTTTATTAAAAATGGGATTTTAGTAATTGCTAATAATAGTAAGCTGGCACTAATTGAATGCTTATTGGACTTTAGACACTGTTAGAGAGCATAGTGTACATTACTTTTATAATTCTCATGTGAACTTGCTCAGGTTTGTGTATGGGTATCAAACCTCTCTACAGCTGATGCAGCAGGAATAGAACAGATAAATAATTTGCCACCTAGGTCAGATAATCAGTAAATGGCTTAAATCCAGGATTTGTTTCAGGGCAAGTTTTGGTTCACAGAAACCCTGCTCTTAAGCTTCCAAATGTTTATAACGGAAATTTATATTATTTTTTCCTTTTATTTATTTATTTTTATATTTATATTTTAGTTTTAGGTAGAAACAATATCTTTTATTTTTAATGTGTTGCTGAGGATCAAACCCAGTGCCTCATGCATGGTAGGTGAGCACTCTACCACTGAGGCACATTAAGTAATACTTAATGCTACTGGATTGGACACTCCAGCCCTCTTTTTATTTTTAAACAGCTTTTTCCCCTAATTATGACATTATAGACATTTTGATTTTGTATTTTTAAAATTGAAGTTACAATATTAGATTCTTTCCTCAAAATATATGAACTATAATGTAAAACTTAGGATAAGGATTAAATACTATACTTAAATCTACTTTCCTGTTATGATACCTACATTATTTAATGAGAAATAACATTCTGGGACTAGAGATGTAGTTCTGTGGTAGAGCACTAGCCTAACATGCATGAGACCTGGTTTAATCCCCAGCACTGCCAGAAATATATTTCGACAATCTGATACCAAGTTAGTGGAGTACCTTTTTTTTATACCAGAGATTGAACCCAGAGGTGCTTTACCATTGAGCCATARCCCTAGCCCTTTTTATTTTTTTGAGACAGAGTCTTGCTGAGTTGCTTAGGGCCCTGCTAAGTAGCTGAGGCTGGATTTGAACTTGGTATCCTTCTGCCTCAGCCTCCCAAGTCACCAGGATTACAGGTGTGCGTCATCATGCCCAGCTGGGGGGTACCTTTTATAGTGTGTTCATTGATAGATATTTATTTACCATGTAAGAAATTTTACCTGGTATTAGTAGAATAGGATAATTCAGCTAATTGGTCTTCTTGGAACAGATTTGAAAGATGCATTTTACAATTACAATTACAGTTATGTAAATATTGCAAAGTTTGTTATAGAAACTGACTTACCATTAAGGTAGATATATGTCCTTTCCCTCTTATCCTTTTTTTTCTTCTTAATAAAACCTGAGAGTAGTACAGGGGTAGCTAAGAGTGAAGCCAGAATTCTTTAGTTAAATCAAGCCTTCTCTTCAGGTATGCCTTCTCTTTTCAGGCATGAAATGGATAACTTAAAAGGATATGTACTGAATTTTCCAGTATATGAGTTCTTCCTATGTTACAGTAGTATAGACTGTATGTTTGATAGAAAATTAATAAGAAAGGAACCATATTCTTTAATTTGCCTGGAGGTTAAAAAAAATCAATATTTTTAGCATAGGAAGGGAAATTTAATTCTTGTTTGAAGTAATATGTAAATGAACTTTACGTTGAGGGTTTGAGGGAAATCTGTGAATCATGAGGGTATTGAAAAATGGTTAAAAATATACATTTAAGCTCTTATAAATAATGAAAAATTAGATATTAAATTTTAAGAGATTGATTTTGTATAATTTTAAAACATCCCATTGTGTATTTAGCAAGTGTTTAAAATGTGTTTATTAAGCTGAAAGGAAAAGTGTAAGGGCAAATGGGTTAGGATTTTTTTAGCTGTTAGGTTTAATCTATTTTAAGAGAGTCAGCTTACAATGAGATACTACTCCATACCCACTATGGTGGTCATAATTTTTTTAAAAAGTAACAAATATTGGCAAGGATATGGAGAAACTGGAATGCTCATACACTAATGGTAGAAATGTAAAGTGGTATAGCCACTCTGGGAAACAGATGAGTGGTTCCTCAAACTGAATAGACCCGATAATTCCACTTGTAGGGGTATATATCCTAAGAAATTAAAAAGAGGTGTTCAAACAAAGATTTGTATAATAATATTTGTAGCAGTATAGTTCAGTAGCAGAAAGGTGGAAATAATCTAAAAGTTCATCAAGCAGGTGAATAGATTTAAAAAAAACAGTATATATTATAACATAGTATAGCATGGATAATCTTTGAAAACATGTTAAATAAGAGAAGCTAAATAGAAAAAGGCAAGACAATGCTGTTTCTATTTAAGTGAAATAACCAGAAAACAGAAAGTAGATTAATAGATACTAGAACTTTAGAGTAGGGTTGAAATAGGGAATAACTGCTTAATAGCTACTAAGGTTTATTTGGACTGATGATAAAGTTCTGGAACTAGATAGTGGTGATGGTTGTATAACATGTGAATGTACTTAAAGCTACTGGATTGGACACTTCAGAATGATGGTTAAATGGTCAATTTTATGTTTTGTACATATTATCACAAAATTAGAAACTTATATATTTTGTAATTTTGGGCATGCTCTTACAATAAGAATATGAATTCTTGCATCTAGGACTTTCTGGTGTTCATTGGACTTCTATTTTCATTCTGGGTCAATTTCTTCAGTGTTAAATATATGTGATATGCAAGATAATTTAAGGTAACAAGGATATTATTGCTTAGAGTAAGGATAAGAAAAAAATGAACAGATTTACTAGACGAAAAGCAAATATTGCAAGATTATGATCCTTAAAGCAAATGAAATTTATTCAGTGCAGTTTCTGAAATTCTGGGTAGTCTCAACTCTTAAATTTTTCTGATGAATTCAGTTTAGATTGTGATCACTAAGGAATCTTTGTCATGTCTATACTTTATTATAATCTGGTACTTGAAAAGGGAAAATGAAAAAATGATTTTTAGTTCTGACTCTTTGTTTGATATCCTAGCAAAAACTGATCCTAAAAGTGAAGAAGAAGAAAAGAGACGGATTGAGGCTCGGCGAGAGAAACAAAGGCGCAGAAGAGAAAAAAACAGTGAGAAATATGGAGATGGATACAGGTTTGTTTTTTTGTTTTGTTTTGGTACCAGGGATTGAACTCAGGGGCACTTGACCACTGAGCCWCATTCCCAGACCTATTTTGTATTTTACTTAGAGACAGGGTTTCACTGAGTTGCTTAGCGCCTCACCCTTGCTGAGGCTGGCTTTGAACTATCAATCCTCCTATCTCAGCCTCCCCAGGCGCTGGGATTTCAGGCCTGTGGGTTTGTTTTTAGTAAAGTTACAAAAATAAAAAATGGGCTTATTGAAAAATAGTTTCCTGGTTAAGGCAAGTTTATGAATTGGAATATGAAAAAATTCTTAAAAGTCAAGTGAAAAAGTTTGATCAAAGATATATAGAATTTTTTGCTTTTTAATATTTATATGTAATCACCTATTAGTATAAGAAAAAAGATCCAATTCATAATGGTAATCCAAAAATATAAAATATATAGAAATAACAGTATTTTTAAAAAGAAAGACTTGTTATAGAATTATTTAATAAATACTTGTTACAGAAGAAAACTATGAAGTTTTGAATTTTGGCTATACGGAGACATAATGATATTTTTGGATAGAAAATCTGATTATTACTGATATTTTTGGATCAGAGAGCTGATCCTGTTCTTAGCTGGGTGTGGTGGCATAGCCTGTAATCCCAGTGACTCAGGAGTGTGACGCAGGAGGATCACAAGTTTGAGATCAGCCGAGACAACTTAGTGAGACCTTCTCAAAAATGAAGAGGACCTGGGATGTAAAAGGTACCTGAGTTCAAGTTCCAGTACCACCACCCCCACAACAAAATGAACCCAAATGATATAAGTTTTTTCTATCTAGATCCCAAAACAGATTCTGAAAAAGAATAATAAATGAGTAGATATTGGCTTTTTTAGATATTGAGACTATTAAAAGTCTGTAGTAGTTTAAAATATGTGGTAAGGCTGGGAATGTAGCCCAGTGCTGGAGTGCTTCCCTAGCATATGTGAGGCTCTGGATTCAATCTCTGGCACCACACACACACACATACACACACACAAGTGGTAATAGGCTAATCAATATAATAATTAGTAGCCTATAAACAGATTCCCTTATATGTWGGAATGTAAACTTGTAATAAAAACAAAAGGTTTTGGTTAAGCAACAAAATAATAAGGAAAAAAATCAGTTTAGATTCTCGTTTACCATTTGGAATAAATCCAAATAGATTACTAAAAATAATGGAAAATTACAGGAAAATAATTGGAGTACTTTAATCTCTTCAGGTATAAATTTTTTTCCCCTAATAAGTTTGTTGCTGAATAAGTTAATAAGTGAGATAATGAACAAATTTGGCTAAATACAGACTTGCAAAACAAGCAAACAATCTTGAAAATATAATCATGGGAAATGTCTTATGTCTAAATTAGATAAAAATCATCCGATTTTTCTTTGGTAAAGATGTCTTCCTGTGTTGCCCAGGCTGGTCTTAAAATCTTGGGCTCAAGTTGATCCTCCCACTTCAGCCTCCCAAGTAGCTGAGTTCAAACTTTTTTAAAAAAAGTATGAGAACTAAGATGTCCAGTACTTAATGTGGTCAAGGAACAAYAGTAGTTAATCACTTGTGGAGAAATGTTGAGACAGTAATTTAAGGAACCAGAAAATGCAAATAATAATATGCTATTTTATTAGTGAAGAGAACATATTTATTTGGGAACTAAGGTACAGTCGAAAGACACTTAAAATTCTGCTGCCACCAGGTGTATTGGCACAGCACTATAATCCCAGCTACTGAGGCAGAGAGATCACAAATTTGAGGTTAGTTTCAGCAACTTAGTGAAATCCTGTCTCAAAGTAAAATAAAAAGGGCAGGAGGTAGTTCAGTGAYAGAATGCTTGCCTAGCATGTACAAGATTCTGGGTTCATTACTAAGTATTGGAAAAAAAAAATCTGTTTAATGTTGTTACCATTGGAAAGCAATTAGCAGTTCCCTTCCTTCCTTCTTCCTTCTCTCCTTTCCTTCCTTCCCCTTTCTCTTTTCCCCTCCMCTCCCCTCCCTTTCCATTTTTCTTTGTTTCTTTCGTCATAAATTTCTCTGTACCCATTAACCTTTCCAAGAAAATAATATAAAAACATAAGAGAGTGTAGTCTAAACATATATGCCCATTGCAACACTTTTTTGTAATAGCTCTAAACAGGAAATAAAACCAACTATAGAAAGTGAGCAAGTAGATGACACATTTTGACACATTCCTTTATGGGTTTTTAGGTTGTTGTTAAAAATGAAGATGATAAAATTTATGATAGCATGGAGAAAAATGCAGGCAAAATAGAAAAATACATATATAAAATGCAAATTATGCATTGGAGAAAAGGACTAGTAGAAGTTTTTATTTTTATTTGTATTTTTTTTACCAAGTATAAAGGACTTATTTAATGACGTGGAATAACACTAAGGGTGCATGGAGTGGGCCACCTCCAAGAGAGAAAATGGGGCCTAGAATTTTTTTCAAAAAGACTATCATTGATCTTTTTTCCATCATTTTCTTTGCAGTCTTCTCATAAGGTTCTACTTATGCTAGGATATAAAATTTACAATGGAAATTCAGTAAATTTCCCATTTAGAATATACATTTGTTCTTTAAATGTTAACTTATTGGTGTAGCAAGAAGAGAAAGAAGTGTTTCACATATTTTTGTAAGTAACCAAAATTTCCTCTAAAAGAATTTAGAATTTGAGAAACTTTTAATATTAAGAGATCCTTTTTTAAAGAGTGAGTTTCTTCCATATTAAATAGGTAACTTTTTGTTAATCCTTGGTAATTATATAGGTATTAGTTTTATTTATGTAAAATGTGGAAAAGAAAATTCAATTATATCTGAAGACCCAGATTATTTTGTATTTGTCTGTTTTTTATTTTAGTCTGTTAATTATACTTGTGTAATATTTGTATCTAGCTTTAATAATCTATTCTTTTTTGATTTGTTGTTCCTGGGATTTGTTATTGGAATTTGAGTAATAATAAGATTAACCTTATTAAGAATTGATCCATAAAAAGAAGTTTTAGTTTTAAGAGGACTGCTGTTTTTGGTATTTACGAATATCTTTTCCACTCCTCATTTCTTATAATTCCTTCTTGCTACAGAGGTAATGGGCATAGTTATTTTAATATGGAAATGAATTAAAGTCAATACTTTGTATCAAATGTTTAGGAGTCAAAAGATGATTTAGCATTTTAAGATTAATTTTTATGTTTAATTAACCTAGGAGTATTTTCCCCATTAAATTATAGATTTGAATATGACATTCATGTTAATATAATAAATGTTGTGATTTGGAGAAAATCAAAGAACTCAACTTTCATTTAACTGTTTTCTTCATAACTATAAATAAAAACCTGATGATATAACCAATAGAATGTCAGTTCAATTAAGTTGTCATATTAGGATAAGAACCCTTTAAAATAACCCCAAATTATTTTAATTTACCAGAGCAGTTTTTCTCTGAGTTAGAAGTATTAGAGATTGACTGTAAATGACTACTATTCTTGTGATATGTTCCTTTGATTACTTGAATGTTCTTAATATAAAGAAGATGGAAATATAACTATGTATATGTGCTTAAGGGAAACCAGGAAGAAAGGGATAGATGTGTGAGATGTATACAAATAATAGTATATGGTGAAGAGTGCAAGAAGACGTACAAGGTAGTTTTATGAGCAAGAACTTGTAAATAAGAGTGCAGGTAAATCAGGGAAGGGTACTTCATGGAAGTGGTATTTGTACTAATCTAGAAATGGTAGGATTGCAGGAGCTGTGAGAGGTAGTGTAGGTGGAGTGCTTGGCTTGAGATAAAAGCAAAGAAATGTGTGGGKTTTTTTTTATATTCAGAAAATGAAAAGCTATATAGATTAAAGTGAGTACAGTAGGGCAAAAGGTATAATGTAATTTAAACATTTAATAAAGACATACTGTGTCTTAGATTCCATTAAAGGTATTGATGTATAAAGTCAAAAAGAGGAGAGATTAGGCAGCTGAAAGCATTTTGACTTTGTTTTTTGATCGACAAGAGCCATTCAAGCATTTGAGCAGTAATTGTGGTATTATCCAGATTAGGAAATAATAATAATTAATTGAACAATTGCTGTTTTAAGGACTTTATATGTAATAATTTTTCTTTTTTTAATCCTTATGGCATCTCTATGAGAAATCTCATTTCATAAAGATAAGAAAACTGAGCCAGAGTTAAATCATTTGCTCAATCTCACATAAAGGAGCCAGGATATAAACCCAGCATTTGACTCTAGAGCCCATAGTATGAACCAGGAAAATAAATCTAATAGCAGTGTGGGGAATTAATTGGAAAATGAAGATTGTGGTCAGAAACCATTTTGGAGACTATTGACAYAATTCAAGGAAAAAGAAATGATATATTATGATAAAGTAGAAACAATGGGGAAATTCATTCTGATATGGCTCTTCAGCTTACAAATATATGCATTTGTCTAGGCCAGGCCTATTATTTTCCCTGAAATGTTGTATAGTGAGTAGAACTTTTGATCATCCAAGAGTTACATTGTTTGGTTTGCTACCTGGCTTTGTTGATGATACAAATGTAAAATAAGTTGTAGAACTTTGGAATTTAATAGTCCTCTGTTTGCTTTGGCYTTTTAATTGTATTAATTCCAAGATGAGCCAGAAATGAAAAATGGTATAATAACAGTGCTGTCCAAATAGGTAAAAGAAAGACTATATTTTTCTGACTTAAGTTAAATTCAAATAAGTCATAAAATGGAAAAAAAGGAAATGATTTATGTGGTAAAATTAGTTTCATTGGTGTATTCTCTAAGAGGAAATGGTAATATTTAAAGAAAAACTTTTTTTCTTCATAGAATGGCATTCACATGCTCGTTTTGCAAATTTCGAACCTTTGAAGAAAAAGATATCGAACTGCATCTGGAAAGTTCTTCACACCAAGAAACATTAGATCATATTCAGAAACAAACTAAATTTGACAAAGTTGTTATGGAGTTTTTGCATGTAAGTAGCTGTTTTTGAGGTGATAAGCACTTTTATCTGATCTGAATTATCTTATTTCTTTTTTTATAGTTTCCCACCTTTTCTGTTCTATGTTTCTGAAAATTTAATAATTAACTTTATTGAGAGAAAGCTATTAAAATTAACCCAGAATTAGATGTGAAGTCTTCTGTAGAGTTTGGATTTGGTATTTGGAAAACCATTTTACATTGCTCACAGAAATGGCAGAAGTGTCAGAAAAGTAATTGCTTTACACTGTTTGTTCATGTAGTTTCAGCTATCATCCACTGTGTATACATGTGGTTGCCACTTTAATTCATTATTTCAGTTGAACCTTATAGCAACTCATTTTTATCATAATTGAAAGATCATGCTMAGAGCTGCTAAAGATCCTGTCAGAGGCAAAGAACCTAGTTGTTTTAGWCAGCTTTTTTACTGCTATGACCAGAAGTCCTGACAAGAACAATTAGAGGAGGAAAAGTTTATTTTGGGGTTCCCAGTTTCAGAGGTCTCAATCCATAGACAGCTGGCTCCATTCCTTGAGGCTCCATGTGAGGCAGAACATTGTGGCAGCAAAAAGCGTGGCAGAGGAAAGCGGCTCAGGACACTGGGAAGTAGAGAAAGAGAGCTCCACTCAGCAAGGACAAAATATTATTACCCCAAAGGCATGTCCCCAGTGACCTATCTCYTCCAGYCAAACTTTACCTACCTATGGTTACCACCCAGTTAATCCCTATCAGGGAATCAATACTCTAATCTGATTAGGTCAAGACTCTCATAACCCAATTATTTCCTCTAAACTTTCTTGCATTGTCTCACACATGAGCTTTTGGGGGCCAACTCATATCCAAACCATCATCCTTTATATTATCAGTATGTGGTCATGCATTTTTTTGTTTGTTTGTTTGTTTTTTAATTTCTATGGAAGATGCTGTCAGGCACTGAAGACTAGAGATACCACTCTTAATGCAACAATAATAGAACGTATTGACAGATAAACAGATGATATATTTAAGAATAAATGGCAATAGTTCAGAAGTACAGTAAGGGCTTGGGCAAGAGAAAAGTTGTTGGGACCAGGAATGCAGAAAGAAGAGGCTTGAGCTAAACTGGTAATTGTACAGAAAACAGATTTAGACAGGAGTGATAAAAATTATTAGAGGATTAGAAATACAGTGATCATTCAGACCTTGCAGAATTGTGTCCCTTAAKTACAATTTCTTTCTGAGGGGCTGGGGATATAACTCATTTGGTAGGGTGCTTGCCTCACGTGCACAAGGCCCTGGGTTCAAACCCCAACACCACAAACAAACAACAACAAAAAAAATTTTTATGTAATTTCTTTCCTCAGTGGGTTGCCATCTGTCACTTACGACTTAAATATGCATTTACCTAAGAAGCCCTCTTCACTATTTCAGCTGTCTTTGATTTTTTTCTCTATGTGTAAAATACATTTTGAAAAGTCAATACTTTTTGTAATTTTTTAGTATTTTATGATAGCCTACTCACCTAAATTGTAAGCTGCTTATGAACAGATATTAATTCTTATAGAGCAGGTATTGTGTCTTCAATAAGATGAGCATGGTGCTAAGCATATACTGAAGTGCTTATTGAGAACTGTTTGGATTCTTTTTTATTTTCTAGGAATGCATGGTGAATAAATTTAAGAAAACATCTATTCGTAAACAACAAACAAATAATCAAACAGAGGTTGTCAAAATAATTGAAAAAGATGTTATGGAAGGTAAGTAGGCAAATTGTTTTAGGAAATTTACATGTATATTTAACATAACTTTTTTATCATAAATGATAAGCTTTCTTGTTCTCCCCTACAAAGTGATATAGCACATAATTAAATATTTGCTTGCCTTTGTGGGTTAAGAGAAGTGAATTTTGATTTCCTGTTTCAGTGCTTACAAATTTATTATTACCTACTGTTGCCTCCTTCATTTGAGTTTATAAGAAAATTCATCTTTTCCTGTAATTCCTTCTGAACTCCARTCTTATTTGTCCAACTGCCTACAGACATCTCTTCATCAGTTAGACAAAATCAATATATCCAAAACAATTATATCATTTATTTCAGCATATGCCCCCTGCAGAGAAAACAAAACAAAAACCCACTAATATCTCCTTCATTTATCTTGAAAAGTAGTCCCACCGTCTACCAAAACCAGAAGTATGGAGTTRATTTAAGATACCTTTTCCTTTCTGTGTTTGTAGCACTATTTCTTATAGGTTCTATCTTAAATATTTACTAAGTCTGTTCCTTAACCTCTCCTTTAGATTTTGCTTTTATTGAAATCCTTACCTGTTCTCTTGATAGTTGTAGTATTTTCCTAACTAGTTTTCTTACTTCCAGTCTTTCATATTTCTAATTCTGTGTAATCTTATTATTTCAGAAAATTGCAGTGGTTCTCCATTCTCTACACTTTAAAGTTCAAATTCCTAGACATGGCACACAAAGATCTTTTAAACCTAGGCCCTTTTTAGTTTTTCTGTTCTCATCTTTTGTCCCTTAATTATAGTCTGTGCCCTAGTCATACTAAATTGCTTGCAATTCTTAGAAAGTCTGCTATTTTCTCTATGGTTAGCAGAGACCCCAGTGCTCAGACCCTGCTTGTGATTTTGTTTATGACTTATGTTCTCTTTTCTACTTGTTTGTAATTCCTGACAATATCAGATTTGATGGTGGGGCCAAAAAGGCAAATAGTATTTACATAATGTTGTTATTAAAGTAGTGAGTTTTAAAATTTTAGTAAAAATAATTAAAAATGTATCTTAAGAATACACACAAAATATCCCTTGCATATATTTATACCTTTCCTTGAAATAAATTCTAATCATTTTCAAGATCTAAAAAAATATTTTTTCCCCTTAAGAATCAAATGTTGACATCCCTTTTCCTCTCCCTACCCACCCATATTTATAATCATGAAAAATTCTTATTTTATTACAAAATCAACTTTGTTTTCGTTTATATTTTGGGGAAGATAGATTTATAGGCCTCAGAATATGAGTGTATAACATGATTAGGAAGTACAATGTAATTGCACCTTGTAATTTTAACCAGTTATCTTCATRTCTAAAAAATCTGTAGATTTATGAGATGTGTTAAAAATCTCAACATAAACCTATATACTCTTATCCTTCTTGTGGTAAAAGGGGTACAAATGGTTATGAAAACTAAGCAGTAGAGTCTTGATTTGTCAGAAAAAAGAATATATTAGTTTTTTAATGATAGGATTTGTTTTGTAGGTGTTACCGCAGATGACCACATGATGAAAGTAGAGACTGTTCACTGCAGTGCTTGCAGTGTGTACATTCCTGCTTTACATAGTTCAGTTCAGCAACACTTAAAATCTCCTGATCATATCAAAGGGAAACAGGTAAGTTTTGATCTATCKTAAAATCCTTGAAATTTCTCAGTCCTTTATTATCTTTTGGCCATTGTTTTGTAACTATCTTCCTACATATAATACTATTAATCTCAAATGAGAATAATTAAAAGTATACTCATAGAAGCAGCATTGTATATTGGTTAAGACTGTGGGCTCTTGAACAAGACTTTCAGGGTTTAAATCCTCAATCAGTATGTAACAAGTAAATTAATCTTTCTTTCTAAGTTTCCTTATATATAAGGAAATAGGAGGGATAATGATTCTCTCTAATAAGATTAAGGATTAAATAAATTAAAACATTTAAGGTAATTAAAATGGTGTCTGGTTACAGTAAGCATTGAGAAAATCAATTGTTGAACTATTTTTTTTATAGTTGATGCAAAATGGTTTTGTGAGAGTAGGCATGTGTTTTAGAATAAAAATGAGTAAAGATTATAACTGATACATTTTCTGGTGGTTATGAAAAATAAATTTAAAAATTAAGATGATCAGTTACTGTCTACTGTTTTTATTTTTTATTTTTTGAGAAGAATATCCTGGAAAATTTTTAGCTTATTTCTTCTGCATATTGGCTGTTGTTTTGGGGGTCAGGTTTACTTCAAACAATACAAATGTTRATGTAGTAGGAAATTAACTCACTTGAGAACTAGATTTAAAGATTCATATATTAAAGCTCTTAAGTTTTAAATAGAGGATACCTGTCTCTTAAATTCATATTTTGTATTGAAGTGAACTTCATTTAACCCAGACTTCTATATGCAGTTTGAGCACATAATAGTGTTTTCTTAATCTTTGCCCTTTCCCCCCGCCCTTGATAATTCTTTGATGCTTTTTGCAGCCAAACATTTTATATTATTACCTTTTCTTCTCTGCTTAATACATTATTGTGATACCTATAGCCTAGAGGAAGACTAATTAGTTACTCTTGTGGTATGAAAAATATTCTTTCACAAGAGGTGGGGGTGGGGAGGGAGGAGTTGGAGGTTCACTGGATTGGACAAGGAGGTTTGGGGAATGTGAGGGGGATGGGAATGGGAGAGATAGTTAATGAATTAGACATAACTTTCCTATGTTCATACATGATTATACAATCAGTATAACTTCACACATTATGTTCAACCACAATAATGGGAAGTTATACTCCATTTGTGTATGATATGTCAGAATACATTCTACTGTCATGTATAACTAAAAACAACAAATACAGAATTAAAAAGTATATTCATTAATAAAAAATTATATTCATTGAGATAGCATGAAAATTAGTATTTGGGCTGAGAGATGACTTAGAGAGGAGAGAAAGCAACTGTCTAGTACATCTAGATTTATAGTGTTTAGGGATTTATTGTTTTTATTGAAACTAATTGGCTTATGAATCTTCATTGTTTTAAGTTCATAATCCATTAAATCGGTTAATGTTTAGTCCATATTAATCTTTATTATTTAATTTAGATTATGAACCCAATAGCTATTGCTCTATAGTTTTATTTGCCATAAGAGAAATCATTTAAATTTAAGGGKTTGAGCATAAAATGTTTTTAGTTATACAAGCACTTTTTATGGCATGACATTCTAACCTTCAAATGTATTCTGTTTTCCATAGGCTTATAAGGAACAAATAAAAAGAGAGAGTGTCTTGACTGCCACAAGCATTTTAAATAATCCAATAGTGAAGGCACGATATGAACGATTTGTTAAGGTAAGATTTGGGGGCAAAAGTTTTTTAGGAAATACTGTAGTATAGTAGTAATTAAAAGTGACACCATAGTAACTTTTTGTGATATTTAAATATAGTACAAATTGGGTACCCTGACCCACTTTACTACTCAGGGTTTTCGTCATATGTTACTGCTTGACTCCTTCTTTACACAGAATTTCTTCAAATAGTTTTTGTACAAACATGAACTCACACACACTGTTTTTCAGGAAATTAATAAACAAATTTTACAGGTTAGTTTTTGAGTATTTACAAAATATTTAAAATCATTCTGCACTAATGAGACCTGTTATATTGAAGATTTACAAAAGTCTGTTATTTGCATTTAGTAAATCTTTATAGAATAAAGAAGTTTATTTTGGCTTTATAGAATAAAGAAGTTTATTTTGGCTTTTGTGGTGATTCACAGCTCACTACTCTTGTGAAAAAGCCTGATATATTTAATGGCTATTAACTATTATCAAGCGGCTTCCAAGCTGAATAATCTCAGTTCTTTTGATTTATTCCTCAAGGGCCATTTTCTAATTCTAATTAATTGTGCTTGTTGCTGTTCACTACTTTCTTGACACTATTAAAAAAAAGGCAGCTGTGAATTGAAATGTTAATTTTTGGGGGAGGTATGGCATCAAAAAGACAGAAGCTTAAAAAGATAATAGCTAAATGAGGAAAAACTAGATTTTTATCCTTGCTTTATCACAAAGTTTCAAGAAGTTAGTGATTTCTGTTGTTGAATGAATTTCTAATGAAGAAAATATAAATTAGGAGTTTCTACATAGGGTTTTCAGGCTATCCAATTGAGTCACTTCATGGAATRGGAGACATCACTGGTGGAAGTGCTTATGTGCATATTGTGGAGAAAACACCTGAACTGAAGAGATCTCTAGAACTTCAAATATGATCTCTAGATCAGCATTCTAAACATCACCTTGGAGCTCATAAGAAAAAATTTTAAATCTTATTATGCCTACAGAGTAAGGAGTAAGAATCTTCATTTAGCACGAACCCATTTGATTCATATGCATGTTAAAATTCAAGAAGCACTAGAATCACATTTCTCATTGATTTGCCTTTGTTCAGCATTTCTGTCTGTGATGTTCCTTGTCATTCCTGAGAACATCCTCTGCTCTTAATAGCTTTTGTCATGGCTTAAACCTCTTTTACCTTCAGTTGCTTTCACCCTGAGAAAAATACCTTTTTAAATCTTTGACCCCATCAAGATAATCAGTTCATTTTCCAGTTATATCATTATGTTCTACCTTTACTTCCTTCCTTGGACATTCATGGTCAACCATTTCAACAAGCAATAGTGTTCTACAATTGCTTATTTGTTCTTCAACTGCTTACCAGTTCCCAGCATTTAGCTACCTCTAGTTAGCTGAACTATGTATCATGGAGCTGAGTACAGTTGCATGAGATCTGTACTCCCAGCTACTCAGGAAGTTGAGGCTGGAGGATCATTCGAACCCAGGTGTACAAGGCCATCCTGGGCAATACAAGTCTCTGCCTAAAAAATGATGAGAAAAGAAAAAAACCCATGCTATTGTGTCATTCCTGTTTGCCAGTTTTTCACTCAGTAATTTTACTTATTAATTATCAATATTGTATCTTCTGTAGTGAACGTTCTAAACTCTTTCATTCTTCAGATGTTCTATATTTCATCTTTATTTTCCTCACTTCCATGTTCTTTTCTCTTTTGTTAGGGAGATTAAGATTATTAGAAATGAGTTTATGCCTTAGATTTATGTACCTTTTCTTTTTATCTTTTTTGTTATCAGTGAGGAAAATATTATTTTTTGACCTTCATCTATGTTCTTGTTCTTATTTTACCATTATCTTTTCTCATTTTACCCCTTATCTCTTATTTTACCCCTTATCTCTTGTTTTACGTTGCTTGCATCTGATTTTTACTTTGCTTATTATTTATTTTCTGTTTTTATAAGCAGACATCCTTATGAGTTCTCCAAACTAAAAATGACTTTATTTTTCCTGAATTTTGGCCCTCCCCATATTAGTGTTTCTTCTCATCTGACTGTACTTGAAAATATTGTTTTGTGTTGTGCTATTTACTTCTTATTATTCACTCTTTAACTGAGTAGTTCTCACCAGGAGGAATGAAATCAGAATCACCTATGAGGGTATGATCAAGTAAAAAGTTTCAAGGCCTTTTTTTCAGATCTTCTGAATTAAGGTTTCCTCAAACTTTTCATATTAACATTTTATGAAATGCTGCTCAAATATACAGGTTACCTTCTACCCTGGAAATTTTGATTCAGGAGGTCTGAAACTGATTCAGAAATTTTAATAAGATCTCTAATACTTGTCAATTAAAATATTGAGTGTGGACCAAGGCCTCTGGATTTTGTGAATTTCACAGGAAATTATGAAGATGGAGTCTTTGAAAACTTACTATTCAAACTCCCGTGTGTGAGTGTGTGTATGTTTTGTGTATTTTTTTTTTTTCCTTTTGTTTTGGTGGTGCTGGGGATTGAACCTGGGGCCTTGTGCATGCTAGGTAGTGAGCCACACTGAGCCACATCCCAGCCCTGTGTTACACTTTTGAAACTGCTTCTCCTAAGATTACCAGTGACCCAATTATTAAATCCAGGGGCCTTTAAAAAAATTAACATACTATGGTTTATTTAACATGGAAAAGTAAACAGTTGGGAACCCTTATTCAGCTTTAATAAGTGATTGGCTTTTATGACATTTTTCAGTCCTTTTGTTACTTTTATTTGTGTTCTTTTTTGACACTGCTGATTAATCACAATTTTTCTTGAAACTCTTTTGGCAGACAATATTTTACTATTATGGGTTCTTCTGTACTGAACAGTTCCTCTCTTCTGACCTGTACCCTCACATATAGGCATTTTCATACGTTCTCTCTCAGATTTTGAGTTTCAAGTTCACAACTGCTTGCACCCACTTCTCCTCTCCCTGCTCTAATTTACCTATTTTTTTTAATGTTGTCACATCTTTTATGTTGTCCTTTTCTGGATTATTAGTGTAGCCCCCTCATTAGTATTTCTTTTATTCTCCTTTTTTGACAGTGGGTATTGAACATAGGGCCTCCTAAGCACATGCTGTACTACTGAGCTACACTCACAGCCTGAGTATTTCGTCTATTCCTCTCTGTCCTAATATTTTCCTGTTTAATAACTTTTACTGCCTCTCTATTTCTTACTACATTAATATATGGTCTTGTGATATGGTCCAACTTATATGAAGTTGAGTCAGGTATATAATTGCTAAAATTATTCCTATGAATGTTTACTGAATTAAAGACTTGTCTATTTTTAATTTATTATTATTATTTTTAATGACCTATGCTCATTTTTGCTTTTGTTCATTTATTTGAGTTAATTTTTCATTGGTGCATTGTAACTATACACAATAGTGGGTGTCTATTTTTTAATGTGGAAAGAAATCATGGTATCTGGTAGGTAAAACAAGGTACCCAGTTTTCAGATTTAAAAAGACCCTACAATAATAGTAGGTGATTAGTTATTTAAGATGCACAACTGTGTGTTCTCTGTTTCTACCCAAGCAAGCYTGCATATTTGCCTTTGTCTTTCACATATAATTTTAGAAATTCAGTTAAGAAGAAAATATGATTTTGGGGCTGGGTTTGTAGCTCAGTGGTAGAGCACTTGCTCCCTACATGTGAGGCATTGGGTTCAATCCTCAGCACCACATAAAAATAAAATAAAGGTATATGTCCATCTACAACTAAAAAAAATATTTAAAAAAAGAAGAAAATATGACTTTTAAGTATTCTAGTTTGTGGAGTGCAAAGCAGTGACTTAAGTATGGAGTTCTGAAATAGATATGAACATAGATTTAATGGACTTTTCATAAGTGAAAAAACTACAGATAGTATTTTTCATGATACAGCAAATAAAAATTTCACTGATGGAAAAAACAAGTGTGCTGATTTTAAAAGGCATTACTCATGTTTTTAGGGTGAGAATCCTTTTGAAATTCAAGATCATTCTCAGGATCAGCAAATAGAAGGAGATGAAGAGGATGAAGAAAAGATTGATGAACCCATTGAAGAAGAGGAGGATGAAGARGAAGAAGAAGCAGAAGAAGTGGGGGAAGCAGAGGAAGTGGAAGAAGTAGAGGATGTGGGAGAAGTTGGAGGAATAGAGGGAGAG